CTTATTGTGATTTCTGGAGGATTCTAGAAGTTTTAGGGGAGGGTCGGAACATTCTGGGAAGTCTCTGTAGGTTTCTGGGAGTTTTCATGGAAGTTTTTGGGGATTTCTGGAGGATTCTGGAAATTTTGGGTTCAGAGGGTCTTCTTGGAAATTTATTGAGATTTCTGGAGGATTCTGGAAGTTTTCTGGAGGTTCTGGAAGGTTCTGTGGGGTCTCTGCAGGTTTCTGGGGGTTTTCCTGGAAGACTATGGGAGATTCTGGAAGTTTCTTGGCATTTTCTGTGGCTTTCTGGAATTTTACAGCTTTATTCTGGGAATTTTCCAGAGGTTTCTGGAAGCTTCTGGGGATTTTATGGGCCTTTCTGGAGCTTTGCAGGGATTTTCTGGAGGTTTCCAAGATCTTTTCCAGGATTTTCTGGACATTTTGAGGTGGGATTTCCAGGACATCCTGGGGATATGGAAATGCTCCCCCCCCCCCCGGATTCCTGTGGGTTTTCGTGGATATTTCCAGGATTTTATGCATTTTTCTCGGGGCTTTATCATTTATTTTTCTCCAGATTTCTCTAGGATCTTGTGTTTTCCACGAAACTTCTCGTGATTTCCAGTATTTCCCAGATATCTCAGATTTTGCCCGTATTTCCCTGGCATATCCCACCAGATTYCTTTTCCAGATTTTTCTGAAATTCAGGGATTTTTATGTGGAATTTTACTTTTTTGTGTGTATTTTCCACTTTTCTTTGGTATTTTTCCATGAACAATGGCGCTTTTCTGGGATTTTACAAATTTCCMTGTGTTTTTCCAGCATCCTTTCCCAGGATTTTCCATCTTTTCCCACCATTTCCCAGCATTTTTCCCCCAATATTCCCCATTATTCTCAGAAATACCTCAGAATTTCTCATGCATTTCTGGGATCTTCCAGAACTTTGCACTGTTTCATCCCATTTCCTAGAATTTCCTGGAAAAACAAACCCACRATTTGGGGGCAGAAATTGCTCATCGGGTGGGCAGGGGGGGACACCACAAGGCAGCCATTTTCCCCCACCTCAGCGCCCGCCACCATTTTGTGCCTTTCTGCCCCATTTCTGACCCAAATGTGGATTTTCCCATTCAGAATCTTCCAGAACCTCCTAAATTGCCCAGATTTTTTTGGAAAAACACACAATTTAGGGGCAGAAATCCTTCATCGGGCAGACAGGGAGAAGGGGATGCCACAGGGCAGCCATTTTCCCCCGCCCCGCCGCCATTTTGTGCCTCTCCAGGGCCCTTTCTGACCCATTTCCACCCGATTTCTCACTCAAATGTGGATTTTCCCATTCAGAGTCTTCCAGAACCTCCCAAATTTCCCAGAATCTCCACAATTTAGGGGCAGAAATCGCTCATCAGGCAGGTAGACGCGCCACAGGGCGGCCMTTTTCCCCCACCTCAGCACCCGCCACCATTTTGTGCCTCTCCGCGCCGTTTCTGTGCCGTTTCCTCCCCAGTATCCCCATTTCACCCCATTTTACCCACCCATTTCCCCCCTTTTCCCATGTTTCCTGCCCATTTTTCCCCATTTTTTCCCTATTTCCTGACTGTTTTCCTCTGGTTTTCCCTGTTTCTCCCCATGTCCCATCCATTTTCCCCATTTTACCCTGTTTTTTGCTGTTTCCCACCTGTTTTTCCCATTTTCCCCATTTCTCTCCTGTTTCCCCCCTTTTTTCCCCATTTCTCACCTACTTTCCCCCAGCATCCCACATTTTTCCCTGTTTCCCACTCATTTTTCCCCATTTTCCCCATTTTTCCCCATTTCTCCCCGTGTCCCATCCGTTTTCCCCATTT